TTCTAAGTGGTTCCCACGTTCCATGCCCGGATTGATGCGCGGAGAGTGGCTCCGTCCCTTGCGCCGCGGCCTGGACGTGCATACGTAGGCACTTCCTCTCTTCTCTTTCTCATCACTTGGGCTAATCCCGTATCCTTCGCGCAAGCATGCATGCTATAAATTTCGCAAGCGCGATTAGTTGTCTCTCTAAGAATCTCGAGGTTAGCGCGATCAGTGAGGTCGGCTAATGAGCAAGTTTGGAAGGTGAGTGAGTATGAGAGTTGGGTGATCCGACTAGCTGGTGCTGAGTGCGCGAGGTTGACTCGTGGTCGCGAAGGACTGTGGCGTGTGGGCGAACCTGGCTTGCACACTCAGGCCAAGCGGGGTGACGACTCTGTGTAGCTTCGGAGATGTGGGGCGACGGACTGCCCGCATCAAGAGAAGAGAGAAAGAGAGAAAGAGAGAGAGAGAGACGGAGATATGATGGAACAGTGTCGTCTTCTCCCTACCTTCTATGTAAAGTTTTGATTCTAACGTTGGTCAATTTTGTTGCCGCACCTTCGGATTTCTTGTGTGAATCATCCCAGACTATCTGCTTTGTGTGTATGTATGCATAAGGATGAATGAACTCGTTTTTTTTTTTTTTTTTTTTTTTTTTTTTTTTTTGAATTGTCCTTAATCTCCCATTTTGTTTTGCTCAAATCCAATCTCGTCACTTTTGAGTACCCGTCTGTTACGCGTGCATCTTGTCCAAGTCACTTGTTTTTGACTCGCACATGATTGCGAGGATCACAGGGTGCGTTGGGTCTGGATGCTAAACTGACTCTGCCCTCTTTTGTATAGGATGGTGTGAGCATGTATGCAATGATTAGTTCTGCCTGAGATTTGGATAACAGTTGCACGGAAGGACTAACTGCAAGCATATAAGATAAACCGACACGCAGGTAAAGCGCTCATTGGCAACGTCCTCGCACATAGTCTCTGATCCGATCGGCCGGATCGTGCGCACACATGCGTAAGGTAGCTACCCACAAGGGTGACCTGCAGCCTACGCGCGCGCATGCAAGAGCCAACCCGATCCCGCTCGTCGAAGATGCCTGCGCCAAATTCCGCTAAATAGGATATGGCGATCGAAACTCCTTTCTGGATTACCGATCACGAGAGTCTGAGAGATCCGGAATACCGAGCATATTGGGAAAGGGAACAAATCAGGCGACAACAGACCAGACGGCAATGAAACTTACGGAATCCTGAGTACCCCTGCCGAACTGGAAACGAGCAGTTGTGCAGGGGCGATTTCCAACTGGCAATAAATCGAGACTCCCGGATCCCGGATTATCCCGACAGTCGAACCCAGCATTACCTTCTAACCCCGGGCTTCGTGGCCATCACCACTAACTTCCCTACCACCAACTACTCGTCGTCCCCTAGGAGTCCATAGCCCGATTTTGGCCCCGACCGTCGTGCTCGGAGTGTCAGCAGCACGACGAGTATCATCCGGCGGGGATCACTCGACGAACCCGTTCCGAAACCGAACAACGAGAGTGCAGTTCATCCCCGTCAGCCTTGGAGACTTGCATCGGCCGACAGCGGTACGAGCATTCCCACCGGGACACCCGTAGCGCCCCACCCGAGCACCATACGCGGCCCTGGCCGCGAGATCGGTAATCACCCCAACTTTGAGCTGAAAGAGACACTTGCACTTCTACCCCCGGAACTCGACACAAGAAATTTTAGTTCCGACGTGGAACTCCACCCCCACTTTCCTAAAATCCTTGGCACACCCCTTTTCGCACTTCCAGGCCCACTACCACTCCAAAAACAGGAAGTTACGCTGGGTGTGAGGTTGGGCGTCACAACAGTGGCAAATTGCCCACCGGTGCCTGCCTACCAATGATTGGCTGATCGATCATACACGATTGGAACAACAAGGGAAGGTGTTGTTACCCTTGTGCCGAGAGTGCCTCTCTAATTTCCTTGCCAAAAAAAGGGCCGAGACAGTGGAACACATCTTCTTGCAGTTCCCGACTGATGTGCTCCTACGGCGATGGTGGGACAGAATCTGGCGACACATTGTTCCAAATTCCCCCTGGCCTTGGGACTGGAGGACCATATTATTGGGCCACTTCCCCCAGTCTCAGGGAAACACGTTTCTGAGGAATATGTTTGTCTTGGGTAGGCGTTTCATCCTGTGGGTGATATGTGGAGAAAATGCATTCTGGAATTGGAAGGGGCCAGGGTGGAAGAGGTGGAATCTATGGAGCAATTGCGCCATTACGTCAGGGACGCGTTTTTGTGCCACTTCCATTAATATCTGGTTTGAAATGATTCAGTTAAGGATGACGGGAAGGGGCCTGACCATCTGTTGTTTATCTTATGGGACGCCGAGCCCGATTCTCAGCATAAATTTCTCAGTACATTCTCAGGAAAGAATCTAATGTTCAGTAAAAGACACAATAGGCGCCATGAGGATAGTAGGTGGAGGGCAGGGGTTAAGGGATGGGGGGAGACTCCACTGGTGGCCCCCGGTGTTTCTCCCCCCAATACCTGACCCTGCTGCAGGTTAGGTATGGAAGCGTAGATTGGATATGGGACGCTGGACCCGGTTTCCAGCACAATGGCGTCACTTTCAATGATGTATTGTTTTGTAAAAGATGTATTTAAGGGACGTTGGACCCAGTTTCCAGTAGGTGTTGCTCCCCACCAATAGATGGAGCGGCCCGCGAGGCAAAGCCTCAATCCCGGTGGTTCTCGTACCACCACCAGGATAGAGGCCTTGCACAAGGGCCTTCTTTCAAAAAAAAAAAAAAAAAGTGTTAATGGATCTTTTGTAACCTGGAGTTTCCTCCACTCTACCAATATAAGGTTCCGAATGGAAAATTTAAACTTATTCCTAATGGCAGTTGGGGACCATACTCTATTTTTAAAATGTTTGTCCCTCCTAGCCAACCATAGGATCCAGAAACCATCGCCCATCGCAGTTCCAAGTAGGCGACTTAGTCTGGGTCAAGTCCAAAGAGTTTGCTCCTGAGGAAAATATCTCGCAGAAGTTACTGCCAGTGTACAGGGGGCCATGGCCAATTCTAAAAGTCAAGGGCGGAGAGGATGGACCATCCTACACAGTAGAGATCCCAGCACACCTCCACACCTACCCCGTATTTCATGCATCAACGTTGTTGTCGTGTGTCACAAGTCAACAGTTTCCATCTAGAAGATCCATGATCCCTCCAGACATGGACGGAAGATAGGACATTGACGGCATTGTAGGTGAAGATGTGTTTAGAACAGGAGGTAGAGGTCGCCCACAGAAACAATATAAGGTCTGCTTTGCTTATCAAGAACCAGAGGACGACCGCTGGTTTACTAGGACAGAACTTCTAGAAACAGCTCTCGACATAGTTACAGCCTACGAGAGAGATAGGAAAGGTAAAGGTCCTGCCTTGGACTAGGCTATTCTTGGAGGACCTCGAATTTAGGCCGGCGGGAGTGAAACGGTATTCACCTGTTCGCAGTAGCCGATGCAGACCCCAGGGCTCGATCCATAGTCTTCACCTTACCTGTGTACAATATCTGTGTCGACCCCAAGAGTTGAACCCACGACCTGTGTCTTTTCCCACAGTTGGTAGGTTGTCGTAGGTTTGTAGGTGATAGGGGTTCGACCTGTAGATCTGTCGAATAGGAGTCTTAGCGAGTTCTAGAAGTCGTAGTTGTAGCTCCTTCGAAGGGTCAAGGTCGTAGCTGCTACAGTACCGAAAGGCCAAGTCCACAGTCTTCCGGAAGGTCCAGAAGTGGCCTTTCGAGTACTGCCCACAGTAGACCAAGGCAAGTGGGCAAGTGGTGGAGTCCACCTGTGCTAAGTCAGCGGTAAACAGTCCCAGTCAGTCCTGGTCCAGTCAAGCAAGTACCGTATGGGACTGTGTGCACCACGACATGGGAAAGGGGCAGACCAACGAGCTACAGAAGTATAAATCAAGAGGCAGCGCCCAGCCATTCATTCATTCCTGCGTAAGCCATGCGGAAGCGCTGCCATAGCGACTTGTGCGAGGTGGTCTGCAGTGAGCCCGAAGACGAAGTGGGCGAGAAGGAGAGCTTAGCCATAGCGATAGCCTAAGGGGTAGTAGCGGCCATAGCCGACATAGCTGATAGAGGAGTATAGCGTGTGTGTGTGCGTGTGTGTACAGTGTGACGCGTGTGGGATATCTAGGGTGATCCTGTGTGTGTGAACAGTGGAGTTGGGTTGGCGACTGTACAGGTGTTGTCGTGCCATAGCTGTTTTAAAGTGAGCTTATATCTGAACTGCGTTCTTGGTTACCATATCTTTGAGTTTGAGTGGGCGCTTGTCGCCAATTGCTGCGCTACCTTTTTACATGCGCGTGAGTTGTGAAAAGCAGCGAGTCTGATTACACAGTCCCAAAAACCCCTTGCCACAATGCACTCCCACCACAGGTGGTTGATATCTTCCAATGCCTCATGTGGGCATACATCACAGTGTGGGGAGATCTGCATCCCTCTGCTTATACACCATTCAGCTGTAGGCACACATGAGTGTAAGTGCTGCCATTGGAGGCCTGCAACTTTGACTTCCAATATGTCGAGCAATAGTGAGATGAAAAAACAGGCCCATGTGTTGCCTAATGATGGCCAGGTACAAACCTCCCCTTTCTTCCTCCAGTTATTCCAGAGACCGACCTGTAATGTAGACGCCTTGGATCTAAGGGCGTACCCCACCCTCGGTTTATAATCTGTGATCAGGATTCTTGTGGAAGCGGCCGATTGATCCGATACTCCCCAGGTGTTAGTGGTGTCTGCTCCTATCAGCATCACTAACACCGGTGGAGTCCAAAAAAAAAGAAAAAAAAAGAAAAAAGGACCCAGCCTGTTCTCTGTGCATCCACTTTCCAGGATTTCTTGGGAGCCCCACCCATAAGTAGGGAGAATCTCTTGTCTTTCTTTCTTTCTTTCTTTCTTTCTTTCTTTTTTAATTTGGACCATTTCTCGATTTATGCGTGTCATCCTTGCGTAGGGGTCATGCTAATCTTCTCTGTATCGTTCCAATTTTAACGGATGTCCCGAAGGACAATCTCCTGTCTTTTGTGTATATGCTGAGTGGTGGAACGAGGCCGTGGTATTTCAACTCCAGCTTCGCCATGCTGCTGTGACCCCTGGGGCGTGGTCCCACTAGCAAAGAGGATCGGATCGAATGCCTGAATCTGGACGAGGTCATGGAGACGTGCAGGAAATCGAGATTGAACTCCTTTTCTGCATCTCTGCGTAAAACACATCCAGATTCAGGAGCTCGATCCTATCCTTTTTGCTAGTGGGACCTCGGCCCTGGTTTTGAGCTCCTGACTTGCAGAAGCGCATTTCCAGGCGTGACAACTCACCCACCAGGCCGAACGACCTTTTAAAGAATTTTGAGGCCGGGGTCCTCACAGTCAACCCGGAAGAACGTACTGAGAGCATTACCCGAATTTGTCAAAAACATATCTGAGGTTCTGTTCTAGGATCTGATGGAGGGGTGATCCCATAGGAGGCCAGAGTAGTATAGCTTACTATCCTCAGAGAGGCCTGCCCATTGAAAGGGGAAAGACCATTTCTTCTTAAAGTGCAAAGTACCCTCTTCTAAAGTTGCGGAGTTGTTCTTAAGTCTGATCCAATCTACTGCTATATCTAGGCGTAGACCTTGCTGAAATTGAGGAATTAAGGAGGATATGGGTGAAGAGGTTCCCAAAAATCTCCTATCTTTCCTAGCTAGCCAAATGTGCCAGAATGCCCTTGCTCTGAACAACATAGCCACTTTGCTTGTTTGATGCTTCGAGAAAAACGGTTCAACTCTACCTGTGATGACCAGGTTCTGATTCCAAAAATCCGAGGTGTTGTAGAACTTGCACCAAATCTTATTTAGAAACTCCCAGAAACCCCTGGCAATGACACACTCCCACCAGAGATGTAACCAGTCCTCTAGACTAGAACAGATATCACAAGAGACCGAGATGTTCATACCTTTTTCTGAGCACCATAGAGCAGTGGGAACACAAGAATGAAGGTGTAACCAGGGTTGTCGACCGCCGGCCCCAGGACCCCGCTGGGGTTCCGGGGTTCCGGGGGTCGGCACCCGGGACCCCGGCCCCCTGTATGGGAAAAAAAAAAAAAAAAAAACAGAGGGGGGTGCGCACCGCCGGCGTGCAGCCCCTGGCATTTTTTGTGTCCTGCAAAAAATGC